CCCCTATCCCATTGATGATGTATCACCCCCTTCAACATCTTTTATCTTTGCTCAATCGTATCAACTCAGTCATCATCAATAAAGTGAAAAAAAATTAATCAAAACAATAACAATTACCTGGCGTGTGTCAGCTGATGGTGATGATGGTGGTGGCGCTGCATGTGCAGGCCGCCAGGCGGTGTGCAAAATCTAGGGCACCACTTGCTCGCTCTGTTGCTCGCTGAGCCGGCAAAAAGGAAAAGTGTGACTACATCACTTCTCTTTCTTCATCTTTGCTTCAGAGAGAGTCCTCATCTTCAATGATAAAATGGACGACATCGACTTCACCTCTCTTTCTAGCACAGTGTCCGACCAGTGTTCAGACCAAGTGTCCACTTCATCAAATCTGAGCTCCGGATCTTCAGTTCAGGTAATTTGTGTTTTTCCTTCTTTCTGTCTCTTTTCTTTTCGTTTAAACTTATTTTGCAGGTTTTAAATGGCATTAGTTCTTCGACTTTGGTTTCCTCTTTGACGACCAGCAGCAGCTCCAGGCCGAGCAGGCTCAAGCGACAATCCACTAGTATCAATCAGTGGCCCATTGAGGCAACGAAAAAGGCACCTCCTCCACAAACCGCCATTCCCAAGCTCCCACCTCCCGAAAAGTACACCATAACCAAAAGAGGCAGCAATGGTGAGCCAACGATGGCCGTGGTGGATATTCCCGGGCTGAAGACAAACCCGCCGATTAGAGTCCTGGTTAGTAGAACGTGAAAAGGCCAAGACACACAGGTTTCGCCTTTGCTCTTTTTTAACTTGTTCACCTCCTCAACCTCTTCAGGCGACCATTGGCCTGGACAACATCGACGTGCAGGCGGTGCTGGAGATGTGCGTGATGAACAGCGGCCGCTTCGACTATCGCATCAAGTTCCACCACTGTCTGCTCACCCGCGAAGAACTGGTGTACATGACCAAGGCGATGCGCTACACCATCATCAAGGAGTACAAGACGGCCGTTGACATGGTGGACGAGTACGAAGATGGAGACAAGGTGGCCTGCAAGCGCTACCTGCTCGTCCTGCAGAACGAGTGGATGGACTACACTCGGCTGATTCAGTTCTTCCCGAACGCCAAGGGGCTCCTCCAGCCGGCCAAGTAAGTCTGAACAGTTCAGTTGCTTTGTTTTGCCTCTTATTTCGAACCTAACCTAATCTAATCACTTTCTGCTGTTCTTTACTTGTTTACGTCACATTCTTTTTCAGCGAACGATGGGCTAGCGAGCCCGGACCGATTGTGCCTGTGAAGGCCAGCTACGCCCGGGACACCCTCATTGCCTGGTATCCCTACTAAACAGGCTTTCCCCATAAACCTTTTTACATCTTTCTTTCTTCATTCTTTCTTTCACACTTCACCTAGTCTTACTTAGAACCTTTAACCTAATTTTACATATTACGCTTACACAGATTTTTTCCCTTTTCCTGTATCACTTTATGCTAACTTTTAAAATGAAAAAAGGTAAATCATGTAATGGTGAAATCATCATCAAGTGTGTTTATAAAGTATAAAAGTCAAACTTTGTCTGCAAATGAGTTTTGTATGACATTTCATTGGTGGCAGGTGCAAGTGTAATTAGCAACAGCAATATTAAATGCAAGCCAATTTCCTGGGGTAAATGTCATCACCAGTGAATAAAAAGCCCACTCTAGGAAGTTTAAACGATCAATCGATTGGTGGACGGCACACTGGACGCTTGCCTGGCTGCTGTTACCTGATTTTGCTGATCTTTTCGTCTTCTTCTTCTGCTTGGATACAGGCAAGTTTAATTGTTCAGCAACTGAAATCCAATTGACTTGCCAGTATCTTAGCAGACGTGGAATTCAACTTCAATACTGCGCAACCAAACCGCCTAAGAATCTATAGAGTTCTCCCTGCTGACCAGTGCACTTCTTCTCTATTTGAATTGATTACTCACAGTAAAGACGCTGTGCCTTGGTTAGAAGGAGAACTCAACTCAAATCTCGATTCTATCAAAAACAACTAAACTCTGGTAATTCTAAAAAACTGGGCGACCTCTACCGTTGCCAGTGTTAACTGCTTGTTTCTTGTTTACAAGCGCAACAAAGCATGTCACATTTGTTCCCTTTTGTTCTACTCTCAGGTTTCCAGACTTTGTCACCCTTATTTTCTACGAGTTTCCAAAAAACCATTTTTCCTAGCATTATCTGATCATCATCATCATCATCCAATTCTCCCTCACATGGGCATCATAAAGGGTCTGCTGATTGCCGCTAGCGGCGGCTACGTAGGCATCTGGCTGGCGCAGAACTACCGCATTCCGCAGCTGGAGAGTCCCGTCGACCTCTTTGCCAAGGTGAAGGAAGCCGTCCTGGGCGCCGATGAGAGCTATCGGATGAAGAAGAAGACTTCCACGACGGCTGAAGGAGGTGCCGGTGGTGACCAGGCGATTGACATTGAACGCGCCAAAGCGTGGGTGAGCGCACTGGAGATTCTCTTCAAGAAGTCCAATGGTAAGGACTGAAGAAGAAGTCTGGAAAAAGAAGCCGACACTGCTTTTCATTCACTCATTCAGCTCATGCACATTCTGTAACTTTTTCCTCTTTCAAATGATGATATTAAAGAATTAATCTAGATCACTTTCTTGTAACAGAATTTTATTTTTGTTGTTTTGATGGCGGCGATTGTATCAGCGTGGGCTNGCTCAATCCACATTCTGTAATTTTTTCCTCTTTCAAATGATGATATTAAAGAATTAATCTAGATCACTTTCTTGTAAAAGAATTTTATTTTTGTTGTTTTGATGGCGGCGATTGTATCAGCGTGGGCTGCCCTGAATGAAAATAGCCCTCACAAAATCGCCGACCAAACGATTTCGATGATTTTTTCACTTTTGCTGTTCTTTTGCTCAGCCTGGTCACTTCGTTTGTTTATTCTTTGTTTAGATTTTTCTATTTTTAAATTCTTTCCAATTTCTTCTCTTCATTTCCTAGCGCTCTGACAAAATGACTGAAAACAAACTGCTACTCTTCGATGGCAACATCGTTCAAGCAGGAGAAGTTAAAAAAGAGCTGCTGGTAGAAGCGGAGAACAAGAAACATTGCATCAGCCGGTGTTTGGAAATTTCAACGCCTCTTGCAGAGGAGAAAAAGGAAGTCTCATCATCGCAAACTAGCATCTCAAATGGACCCCCTCTCCAGCAGTCCACCATGGACAAGCTCATCGCCTGGACGGTGAAGAAGTACTCAGCTGCTACTAAGCTGCCACTGGACATAAGCCACTGGGCCGCCGTCACCTTTCAGACGGACCGCCACAAGAGCCAACTATGGACGGTCTTCCAGGCGGCCAGGCAGCTGAACGACCGAAAGCTGGCCCGAATTATAGACCGCTGGGTAGATGAGCTGCACGGCAACTTTAACTACTCTAGCTTCCTCTATGAGCAGGCGGCCAAGGTGAAGGTGGCCGTTCACTTTCGAACCAACACAATGACGATGATCGCCGGATACCGTTTTGTAGAAGCCATTCTGGAGCGGCTGGCCGAGATCAACGTCGGTCATTTCGAAGTTTCAACAAAACAGAGCAATCTACCGACGTGGGAGATTGAGGAGGGCTCTCAGCTGTTGATTATTCCGCCGAAGGTCATTGTCGACGCTGGCGGAGACCAGTCATCAACGGGGACCGTGCAGATGGACACCCGTCTGGGCACCTTCACCTGTGCCCGCAACCAGTACAGCCTGCTGGAGGAGCTGCTCACCGAGGTGCTGCATCGCTGTTCGACCGTCGCCTCGGTGGTCACCCTCTACCGGAACATGCTGCCCGCCCACTGGAAGGGCCTGCTCACCACTGACGGCGGCTGTCTGAAGCACACACTGGGCGACTTTGGCCTGGTGGAGCAGTACGGCGCACTGATGGGCGCCGGTGATGGCGGTGGTGGCGGTAGTGGTGCCCAGTACATCGAAATCTCCCTCAAGGCGCTGACCCTCTCAGGGCAGCCCCTTCTGGTGTGGATTCAGAAGGTAGGGCTGATGTTCACAATTTGGGCGTTTTCAACTCTAATTTGTTTCCTTTTCTCTAGATTCGCCACTTCTTGTCGTTCAAGCTGATCAAGGTGCAGGTGATTTCGCTGGAGACGGCGCTCCAGGCCGCTCAGGCCGGCGCCGACATTCTCCTCTTCAAGCTCGGGGGCGAGGAGGATGGACTGGCGCTGCCGAGTTTGCTCGCCATTCTCGAGCGTATGCCACAGCTCAGAGCGGTTGCTGCTGCCAGTGATCAGTCAGCAACCTCTTCCGCCCCTCCTCCCTCAAAGCGGCAACGACTCTCATCACCATCATCCTCCCGGCCACTGCTGGTGGAGGTGGCCATCGCCGAATCGGTGGTGGTCACCAGCGCCACCCTGCTCGCCTTGGCGCTACCCCATGTGGACGTCATCACCGTGCCGGCGATGCTGCAGATGCAGCTGCCTGATCTGCATTTTTACCTTCGAGTCGTCTGATCATCATGACCTTGTTATTATTATTCTCAGCTTTCTTCAAGCCCACTCTCGAGCTTACTACTACTACTGTTTTCATACAAGTTCTATCTCTCTCTCTCTCTCTTTCCTTAGGAAGAAACCAACCATCACCACTAGCACCTAGTTTGTTAGTGGCACTTGTCCACCTCGCCGACAAAGGAGTTGAAGGCCTTCCAGACGGAGGGCACCGAGAGGCAGGTGGTGCCGCCGCCGCGCTTGTACTGCGACTGCATGCGGTTGATGTCGCCGATGCAGACGTGGCTGTCACTGCCGCCTCCATTGCTGCTGATGGCCCACTTTGAGTGGTCGTCGGTGTACTCGAAGTGGCCCGTCTCATCGGAGTTGACAAAGGACAGCTTGATCTGGTGGACGTTCTCCACCTTGGTCTTCGGGTGGGAACACTCGGAGTCGAGCGGAGTGCCGGGGTTCTTTCGCCAGGTCTCCACCAGAAGCGGCGCCTTGAAGGCGGGGGCGACGATGCCTGCGTACAGGTCGACGTGGTCGCCGGGGCTCTTGTAGAAGGAGGTGAAGGCGCGTCCGGCCAGACTGGTCAGGTTCGTCTGCGAGAAGGACTTGGTTGAGGTCCACTCTTTGGCGGCCAACTTCTTCACCGCCTTGCCCAGCGGGCTCGAATCAGAGGAGGCCACATGGCTGTGGTAGACGTATGGCTGTGAGACGAGAAAGTTGTGGCTGATCACCTTCTCCAGCTCGGCAGAAGCGAGTGAGATGCAGAGAGCCACCTGACCGTAGCGGCCACCAGAGGCGACGTAGTTGAACTGTGGAGGGACAAAAAAGGATTAGCGTTGTTGAATCTTTAAATAGAAGCCACTCACCGATCCCTCAGAAGGGGCAAAGTGCGGCACGGTGTGAATCAGCCAGAAGCCATGCTTCTCATCGCCGACAACGACTCCCTTTGAGTGGGCGTAGCTACTGGGGACGCTTTCCGGTCCCGGAGGCTGGTCGTTGTAGAAGACGGTGGAAAGTTTCGAGGAGGAGCCGTACACCGGAGCCAGCGTCTTTGCGAAGATCGAATTCTGGTGGTCGGTGATGTTGTTCGCCGAAAGGTGCCAGCCGTCGTTGGCTGCAGAGGTCAGAACGGCGTAGCGGTAGCCGCCGAAGAGCTTCTGGTGCAGGTGCGACAGGTAGGGAAACTTGTAGACGATGTACCAGTCAACGGCCTTGCCCGACTCGTCAATGCATTGAGGAGAACTGGAGGAAGCTGCCGGGGCAGCGATGGCTGCAGCTGCACAGAGTCCCAGAAGAAGGAATATCCTCGAGAAGATCATGATCGTGACGTCTGTGGTAGTGGTGGTGCTTTGAAGCATTCAACTGACGAGGACTGGTGGCCATTTTTATACCTCGATGCACAGGAGTTATCAGTCAAAGTGGATGATGATGATGATGGTTATGACGGCACATCTGCAAACTGGCTGGAAGTTGGAGTGCTGCTGCGGCTGCTTCATCTGCTACTTGACATTATCGGCAAATCGAATCAGTCAGCAAATGTACAAAGCACTGATGTTTAGTACTAACCAGTGTCCGGAACGGCGGCTCTGTTTTGGTTGGGTTTGTTTGCGCTAGATTAGATAGGCTTCAGTGGAATCTTGGCGTGCAAACGACATTATCCAAAATTGAATCCTGGCCAGATAAACAGTGTGATAGAAAGATAGGCAGATAGTGGAGCACTGAGGTGTGACCTGCTGAGATGAGCTGCGGTACACTGATCATATGTTAGGAGGAGGAACAGAATGGTCAGAAGGACAGGCAGTGTTTGTGGAACACATGTTTACACTTCTCAATCCTCCGCCTTTTTCAAAAACAAATGATAAGAGGGAAAAGGTAAAAATCAGTTATTTTCAGTTTGTTCTTCGATGCAGCTGCTTCTGTTGCAGTTTCGAAATCAAGCCAGCTTTTGCCTTTCAAAACACCTTCAGCTGGCAAGTACGCCAGCACCAAACAAAGGCGCAGCCTAAAGTTTGATAGCCTTTTCGCCTCTATAAACCATAAACTCTGGCAATTCTTTAGAAAATGATAAGATTTATGACCCATGAAAA